CGTCGTTGGCTCCGCGGAGCTACTCGCTTCCTGCCTTTGGCAGCAGGACCGTGCCCAAACTGCCGCGGAAGGAGCTGCTGCCTTGCTCGGGCCACCTCTTCCTCTTCCTCCCTGCAGAAACCGGCCTCGGGGCTGGGTGAAGACAGCGGGTGGATGCTGAACCTGCTTCCTCATGTGGCCTGTCCCCTTGTCACACCCCCACGCGGCACGGCCCACGCGTGAGCTTCCACTAGCAGCCCCTTTCCCACGGCCCGGGCAGGAGATTCCTGCCCCTGGAAATGCCTTGCAAGAGTTAGCACCACACCCTGGAAATCCCACGGGAGGGAAGAAGATGGGTTCAGACCAAAGTTCAGGGAGCAAGAAGGGTACCACCACCTTCCTCATTTCATCGATGCTCTCGTCATAAACTCCCCCTCTGCTCACGGGTGCTCTGAACATCCCCCCCTCGCTCACAGCCTTCCAGCTGGAAAAGCGAAGACCAGACAATCAGGGAAAGGCGAGCAGACCCCAGAGAGCAGGCCGGGCCCCATATCCCCCCTCGGCTGGGAGCAGGGGGCTGCGTTCTCTGGCCTGGGCCCTCCCTGGGTCACCGCCTGGCCTGGGGGAAGGAGTGACAAGGCTCTAGCAGGGTCCGCCCCGGCCTCTGCCCCAGCACAGCTTCCCTTTTCTTCCTTCCCTCTTCTGAGCATCGATTTAAAACCCAAAGTCAAGATATCCTGCAGCACCGACTTCTGAAGGAGCGCTCTTCCCTGCCTGTTCATCCCTTCGTTGTGCCATGGGAGCAAAGCCTTCCCTTTGATGATATTTCATTACCTTTTCTATTTCTAGCACAACTGGGAAGGCAAAGAGACTGTTCTCTGTCCCAAAAACACAGCGGTGGACTCCTCCTTCCTCTTTACAAGTCCTCACTCAGCCTTCTCACCCTTACAGCCAAGTCTTTCCGCCTCCAACCCACCCCCCTGCTGCCCCTCACGCTGCCTGGGGAGGACGCGGCCCCAGCAAGCTCCCAGAGCAACGGCGCTCCAGTGGGAGACAGCGCGGACGGCAACTGGGAACGGCTGGGCCTCTGGAGGGAGAAGGGTGGCACGTGGATTGGGAAGGAAGGAGTAGGGATGGATGGGCTCACAGCCGCTCAGCCAGCTCCCGTTGGCCCCCCTATCCAATGGAAACAACCTCAGGTCATCCCTACAACTCTCCTGCTCTTGCCTTCCGGCACTTTTTGGGAGCCTTCTGCACCCCACGCTCTGGCTCAGCGTGGGAGCTCCCGCTTCCAAGGAGAAAAGCACCATCCCTCGCCCTGCCGGGGTAGGAAAAGCAGCTCAGAGGGCAGCCAGCCTCCTGCGGGGCTCAGCACCGCGGCAGGATGGAAGCAGGATGGAGGCAGGATGGAGGCAGGGCGACCCCACTGCGGTACAGGAAACTTTCAGCAGGGTGCCGGCGCGTGACCTCCTTCACCGTAGGAGATCAGTAAAGCCGGGGAGATCTAACCCATTTTTGAGGGGTAAGAGAGACAATGCACAGGCACAGCAGCCGTGACGGTCTCCCCGCTCCGTGCCCCAAGGAAGCGGTAAGCCACAGGACACAGCTTGAAAACTCCACAACAGCAGCACAGCGCGAGCCCGGCCGAGCGCAGGTTGGCAGCTCCTGACGGTACGGTGGGGAAGAAAGATGCAGCAGCCACAGTTCCCACCAGCATTCCCCGTGTTTCCCGGGCTCCACGGTGAAGGGGCCCACGGGGACGCCCCGCACGCCAGAAAGCGGAGCTCGTGCTCCGCCGTGGGATGCTCCAAGGGGCAGGAGGCACAGGCCGGCTCACTGAGGATGTGTTCAGAGGAACGGTGGCTGGATCGCAGCCGGGTTTCCTGGGTGGAATGGCAGCACCACAGCAGCAGTTTGGGGAAAGAATTTTCATCAGATTTGTGGACTGACCCTCTCCGATTGCTCCGTGTGCCACCAGGACTGTCACTGCCACAGAGAAGGCAACGAACCCCGGTGCTCCTGCACCCACTCCTTCAGCTGTAAGAGACCAGTTTTGATAGAAATAAACATTCCCTCTCCATCTACACACCCTGCAAGACTAAAACTCTGTAACGGTGTTTTACAGGAAAACCAGCCCTGAAATCCTGCAGCACCTTTCAGCTACAGCCCCACTCCAAACAGGAGTCTTCCCCTGGATCAGTGTCTGATCCAAGCTGGGACACACCACAACCCCCTCCCCACCGTGGCCCAGCCGCCCTTCCTGCGGGGCGCCGGGTGAGCTTACTGCCACGTCAGGCGATGTCCCCGGGAGGGCTCCTCTCCCACGGCCAACAAACGACCTTTCAGCCCGTGAGGCTTCAGGTCGGAAACGCAGCGCTCCCTCCAGGAGCACCTGCTGCTCTCCTCGGCTGTCACCGACCAGAACTAGTCAGGGCCCTGTGTTCAAATCAAGAGCACAAATTTCAATAGAGAGCACAAAGTTATTTAACGGGGCAGGCAGGAACACGCTGTACTGCAGAACAGCGGGTGGGAGGAGAAGGTTATTGTATGGAAACGTGAGCATCGATATTCCCGCTGCATTTCCCTCCCGGTTCATAACAAAGCCTTAGAGCAAAGTCCTGACGCGTCACAGCTCACGTATTACCATGCTCAACACTGACACACGCTCTGTGACTGGATCAAATGGGTATTTCCAGCCTGCACTGCAGCACAGCCCATTAAAACCGAAGCACAGCCCGCGCTAATTGTCCCATAATGATTAGGAGTTTGCTCCAGCTCAGCACGAGACACCCAACGCCACCCGCTGCAGCCGGAGCTGCCGCCTCGCCGCACCTCGACCGCCAGCGCATCCCCACGCGCCGAGCCAGCTCCCGAGCGATCCGTAACCACCGGGCACGCCACGACCTCTGGCAGCCATCTGGAGCAGTGGGGTTTTTATTTTGAACCCGTCACACTGGGTCAAACAACAAGCTGGTCAGTCTCAGCATGGCAAGGTCCAAGATCATCAGAGGAAAGCCAGGGATGACTTCCGACATCCCTGGAAAGCCAGCCAACACTTTGAACGGTCTTCCAAAGAGCCACCAGGAGAGAATTCAACTCAGCAGTTTTTATTAATAACACGAGTTCCTTCTTCGCCGCGGCTTTCGCACAGCTGCCTCCGTTCAGCACATCGAGTACATCCCGCACGACGATACAGAGCCCGGCAAGACGTCGGCGTGTGAGCACGAAACGTTAATCTGGCGATTGCAAGAGAAGCAGCGCAGAGCAGCGTTCCACCAGGAAAACAAAACCCACCACGCCAAGTGACACGATGGCCGAGTCCAGAACAATACTAATTAAAAACAGCATCAAGCAGCGAGTTGCTGGACAATAATATTAAAAACCGTTTTTCCTGTAATTTACAAATATGCAAAGTATCAGGTTACTTAAAATTAAGAAGCATTTTGCTTACTAACATGAAACATTACTAATTTGTAATGTATCAATTAACCAGGTATACAGGTTTCTGTGTCCCTGTGGTTTTTATGGCACATGGTGCCAGTCTGGGTAGGCCACTCCTTGGACAGAGGGAAGAACGGGAACAGCCCAAACCATTCCCAAAAGGGTCTCGGGAACGGCCATTTTCCGCTCTCCCCTTCGCGATCTGCCTCTCGGCGACCTTGGTTTAACCACGAGATGGACGTATTTAGAAAACATAACAAAAACACAGATACAATGTGTATCAACAAATCAACTGCTTCTGGCCTGCGAGTGCAAGAAACATCTTTGCCTTCTAAGCACAGTGAAATCCCAGGACCAGAACCAATTACTACAGCAATTGGTTGTGCATATTTTAAATCTCTTTCAGTATCTACAGTAAAAAACACCTTACGGAGTCAGAGGGAACGACGGGGGAACAGGCTTACCAAACAAGTCTTATTCTACATTTTTGGATGCTGCGATAGTTTGATGAAGCTGGAGGTGACAGGAAAACGTTAGTAAGGAGGACGATGAAGCAACAGCTTCACAGAGAATACTAAGGAATCCTCTGGAGCAGCCCTGGCAGCAGTCCAGACGTACTCCAGCTGTTCTACCAAATGCTCCCAACTATTGCTGTCTGAAGAGAAAAGGCACATCATAAATCCCCCTTGTCAGTGCTGCGCAGAGCCGAGAAGTGACCGGGTGAGGCCGATGTTTCAGCGCAACACCAACAGCCTGGTCCTCCGCACGGCCCCACAACTGCATTTTTCCGAAGTGCCAAACACAACTCGGGTGTAGCTTTGGAGCAGCGTCAGACCTCTCATCCTGAGAAAGGATTGCACTCCCAGCTCCTCTTGTTTCTGGGAGCTGAGCAGCTTGCTAAGCACTTGTGGCATGTACTGGAGAACCTCAGGAAGGGCATGTGGGAGCGGGAGGGGAGCGAGGAGCATCATTCAAGAAGGACACCGCTACAACCAAATTAAAGTCAGCTAAACCTAGCCTCACACTAGAGTTACAATCCAACATTTGCCATGGATCTGCACGGTAGGATTTAGTAAGGAGGCTTCGTTAAGAGCAAAGTGCAGCCTTGACAACACACTTCAGCCTTCACAAATAAGCCTCGTGTCACTGCAAAGACCATACCCCCCTTATCTTGCACAAGCCCCCCCAGAGTCCTCCTTCCATATGCCCGAGGATACACTGAGGCATCTCAAAACTGAAGCTAAAAAGGAGGAGTAAGGCCACTTTGAACAATTAACTGTGGGAATTTAGGATGTGCCTGACCCTCCATGCAATTATAAAGGAAAAATCCTGCCCTGAAGCTACAGCTTCTTCAGGCACCTCTGGGGAAGCAGGACCCTGGGGTGCTCTCACACTCTAAGAGGGGCACCCAGTCATGTCTAGGCCAGAATTTGCTGTGAGCATGCCACATCCGGTACCCAACCTCCAACTGGAGCCTGGTATTCCCAAGGAATGGAGAGGAGCCCTCAGAAGGCCTCTACGGCAGCTGCGAACGCTGCCCCTCGAGCTTTCCGTGCGCCTGGCTGCCCTCGGCGTCTGCCTCAGATACCTGGGTTCTGCGACTTGTACGTCAGTATCTCTGCAGCCAGCCTCTGGGGATCCAGGAGCCGAGGGAAACGGTTCATCACAGCGTCGACTAGGTGGGGATGGAATATGCCACACAGCTTGACGTGCACATTGGCCCGCTCCTCCGCAAACTGGTCAGAGACAGGCCACTGGCAGGAGTCCCCGTACGCCGGGGCTCTCGGCACGGAACGAGGGTCTCGCACGCTGGGGGATCGCACTTGAGGCGGCGGCAGCTGGTACGGTTCAGACCAGTACTCACGAGAATGGGGCGGAGGGGCGCTGTACTCACTGGGCAGGCTGTACTGCCCGGCACTAGCTGGGTGTACAGGTACTCCGTAGCCTGAGAAAGAGTGAGGTGCTCCTGAGTGAGGTACCTCAGGGCTGTACTGCAAGAAGCTAGCACCAGAGGAGGAAGATTTATGGGAACCATGCTTGTAGGAGACCAGACCATTCTGCTCCAAGCTGGGAGAATGTGGGTAGACAGGCCTCTGCCTCCCACAAGTGCAGACTGCCACCTGATCAGCATGGGAGTGATCACAGTGACCGGCAGATCGGTAAGGCCACATGTCAGACAGTTGGTTCTCCAGAGAACCAATGCCCGAGTCGAGATGCTCCTGAGAGATGTAAGACAGAGAGTCCATATGAGGCTGCTGGTACCTGTCAGAGGACCTGTGGCTCCCACTGTTAGGAGGGACACTGCCTGACACACAGCCTTTCACCTGAAGCGGAACATCACTGGGCTTTGCTTTGTGGGTCAAGCTTTTCCTCTCTGCAGAGACCTTCTGCAAAGAGCTCTTATCACTCTCCGTGGGCACAGAGCACAGCAGATCTGCCTGGGAACCCCTTTTGCCCTTTTTCTCCTCCTTGGCAGTGGTACTTCTGGTAGGAGACAACCTTGCATTGGCTCGGAGTTCATCAGCTAATGAGCGCTGGGGCTGATTGATCCTTTCAGGGTGGTAGAATTTACACTTAATTCCGTAAGTGCATTTCTTCCCTGCAAGGAAAGGCAGAGCACGGAATGACCAGCTGAACTTTACTAAATGCATGAATTACACTTGCACAGACACCTCAGTCTTCACGTTCAGAAGGCAGGTCTTACCGTAAGGGCACTGCTGTTTCTTGTGTTCTGGCACAACAGGTTTCTTCCTGAGGAAGTTATCCAGGCTGGGGCCATGTCGCCCTAAGGGATCATCCGGAGGCATAAACCTGAAGAAAAATAAACCTCAGTCAGGAGCAGTTCACTTTCTTGACGCAGGGTTTCATTTCTTCTGGAAGCCTTCCATTTCACTGAAGGTGAAAAGCTATCCGAGCCCCAAGCAGCTTTCCCATTTCACTGCAGTGGCAGCTCTCCCGTCACCTAGGAAAGACTGGCATGCAGTGCTTCCCTTCAGGCACAGCAGAAGTTTTGTGCTCAGTTGCTGACGAGCATTAGTACCTGCGGCCAGGCCTGCTAATGATAGCCTTGTGAGGAAATCAAGCCCTGGAGCTCTCCTAGGAACTCCATGACGGCAGAACTCCTAGCTCCAAACCATGAGCAGCTCTTAAGATAACTCCGATTCCTTATGCCTTTGTACCTCACATCAGAAGGGCAAAATTCCTTCTACCAAAAGGGTATCTCTGCAGGATTTTGTGCCCGCATTTTCTGGTTTTGTGCATCAGTTGCTATTAAAACAAGACAGCACGCTCACACAGACAGTTGTTAAAAGCAGAGGAAGGATGGGAACATACTTGTCGTTAACAAAGGAATACATCAGCAGACGCTCCTCAATGAACTTCTTCCACTCAGGACGCTCGTTCTGGAGGTCCCGGTAAGTATCGTTAGACACCACAATGCCATCCGACTCGTGTGCCAGTTTCACGATGAATCGGTCATCGTAGCAGACGACGCGCTTGCCTCCAACCCGCCTGGAAGGAGTGAAGACCAGGATTTTCTTCTTTTCAAGGTCACGGAGAATGTACTGGTCTAGAACAAAGACAACTGTGAACACACGCGGCCCAGAGGCCTTCGCACAGGTAAAGCGACACAACACTCGTGTGAAGTCATTTCCCCTTCCACAACCCAGCCTGTATTCTCCTCCCTCCCTACACCACCCACCAGGCTGTGGGTGGTGGATTCCTCAGCCCCGCGCCTGTGTGGCACCTGAGAACACTCGGGACACACCACAGAGGCTGGGGTAAACAGCAAGCCCCGGGCACACAACCCTTCGCACGCCCAGTGCACTCTGCATGAAGGCTGGCAGGCGAGCAGCTTCTGCAGTGCCACACTCATGCACAGATTTCTGAGCAGGGTTATTGTGAAATCTCAGCTGTTTGCAAGCTCAGAGCAAACTCCCCTCAGCTTGAATGATTCTGACTAAACTCGCATCAAGCTTTGCCTTTCAGCACGTAGAGATTCCGTACAGTCTACAGCGTCAGATACATCGCATGAAGGTGTCCCCGAAAGAGGAAGTTAGGAAGCAGAGTAGTATTACACTCTTTGTTCTCCGAGTTATTCCAACTGATCCAGGCAAAAACTTGCTTAGGGGAAAAGTTAATGACTAATTCTCCCTGGTCAGCTCAGCTCTTCCATTCAGAAGTTAATTACTAACTAGCCAGAACTTTGCAAGCTCACCAAGTGACAAAGCAGTGAGCCTGAAAAGCTACTTCTGATTTTCCTATTTCCACACCTGTTATAAGTACATCTGGTCGTGGCTGCTCCTTCCTCCAAGACGGCACGAAGACTGTAATATCCTTGTGTCCCCTTTCCCAAAACCACTGGACAGCCAGAAGGATGCCTCGGCAGGAGAACACTTCTTTATTTCCATGGCTGCATGAAAGAAAATTGATAATTTTAGCATTCAGGTTATGCACAGACTAGTCAGGCAATAAACACACTGCGCAAGCAGACCCAGCAGTTCAGGCAGCCTGTAGTGAAGCAGCAGCAGGGTAGCACTATCGGTATTTGTTGCTCATCTTGTGTAAATAGTAGCACTATGATTTTCACAGAATTACTGTTCCTTTCATCACCTCAGTATGCCAATGAATGCCCAAATCCTCACTGGGAGGGAGAAAAGCAGCTGTGACCATTGCAGCTGCTCTGAAACAGAGCCTTTGCTTCAACTCTGGACTCCAGATCTTTATTTTTAGCCTCGAGTACAATGTGATCTTGAACACCCTTTGTCCTGTCTGCCAGCTCACCCCCAGGGCTAGCCTCTGCCAGCGTGAGCTGCACCCTCGCTAGATGTTCTGCTTGGAAAGTTATTCTGATAACTTAAGGAAAAAGACACTTTATGCACTCAAGGCCATCAGCACTGAGGAGAGGTGCTCCTTCATCACAGTACAGCCCAAAAAGCCAGTTACAAACACACTCTTTGCATGAAACGACATCTTGCACTTGGCAGCTTGAGAACGAAGTCTGACAACAGCATCAGAAGCTACGTACCAACACAAAAAGCTGCTCTTTAATTATTCATTAGGCCATATCAATAAGTTTCCAGGACTTCTAAGAGGAAACTACCACTCCTGTTTTACAAGTGCCAGTATTTACAGCGTAATCAGCTCTTCTGTTGATAATGGTCTGGCAAGCTTTCAACATTTCTGTATTACAGCCCAATATGTCATCCCAGGGATCTACTAGCCTGCATTCCAGGCTGACACTGGTGACATGTACTATACTGAAAGTAACCAGGCCCATAATTCAGTGAGAGTTTCCTCACCTGGGCACTACCCTGCCCCAAGCCTTCCTCTTTCTTCCCCTCCACACCTGAATCGCATTTCAACTCCCACCATCACTCACAGCACGCCAGTGAGTTCCTCCACAAGTAATTACCTCCCATCAGAGGCATTGCTAAGAACCACTAGAAATTTTACTTCTCCTGCCCTCACCCTTCTCTGAAGCTATTAAGAAAATTCATTTACCAGAATACTTATACTAAAAAAAAAAACCTAACACCTAAAGAGGCACCTAAAGAGATTAAGACACCCAGATTACAGAAAGGCTGACATTAACAATCAGAAGAAAGATGCTCTAAAAGCTTCCTCCAGTGTCAGACTGGTTTTGCTATCGAAAGCCAGACACAGGTTACTGTAGTCTAGAGATAACAGAAAAGCAGAGATTTTTGAGATCCCTGCTACCGTTCTCAAACTAGAGATAACAGAAAAGCAGAGATTTGAGACCCTGCTACCGTTCTCAGATCTACAGAAGGTAGCTAATTGGGCTGATCTGATTTGGCAGCAGCCAAGAAAAAATTCCCTTAGAAGGAAGTAAAAGCTAATTTCCACTATGATTTGCATATGTTTGTCAAGAGCTGTTCAGGGAGGCCGCTGAACACACAGCAAATGAATCAGCAGGGAACATCACACCATCAATACAGGAAGTTTCAGAACGGAATTCCCCTTCTAGCAGATTGCTTAAAAAAGCCAGACTGCTGTTCACATGTCAAACCCTGTCCTGTCGGCAGCAGAATTACCGCCTGGCCTGCCCTGAGTCACATTTGCTGTGATCTCCCCTGCGCTTCCTTGGGGTAACTTTCATGGATAAGAGGCTGCTCATTCAAAAAACAGAACCAAGTCTGTTGTTTAAGCCTGAGCACTTATCTAAGGTAAACTCCACGGCAAGAGTCGTGCTTATCAGCCCAGGTCTCACAATGAGCCATTTTCCTCCTGTGACTGCACAGCTGCTGGACAGCCACAGACACAGGACTGTGTTCTGCAGACACCCAGGTGGAATCCTTTACCCTCCAGCCCTGCTCTATCACTATCAGAATTCCACGCTCACCCTGGGAGTCACAAGCTCTGTTTGTTGGTCACACAGCAGACTGTACCCCATTTTTTCCTGTCCTGTTCTCAGAGCTGTCAGCCACAGCTTAGAGGAAACCACGCCTGCAAACACACCTCCACTCAGCACTTTCACCTCAGACAAAGCCTACTACAACACACACAACAGCTCCGTGCATCTAATTAAGGGCGCCCAGACCCCCTGTGTAGAGGTGGGGAAGGCAGCACCAGCTTGGGGTGGGGGCAGGCACCACTCACCATCGTGGGCAACAAAAGCCAAGGTGAAAGTCAGGACCTCGAGCCAGTAAGTATCCAGCCCAAAGATTCTGGGTGCTCCATGGATACTGGGGATCCTACACTCCCAAGTTACTGCTCCAGTCCAAGCAGCTCCGCAGGCTGCCTCTGGCTGCGGTGCCTGATGGGACCTGTGCCATCGGCACCAGAACACCCGGGATGCTGAGGGTGAGTCACAGCCCTGCCTTGGTGACATGATGGGCCAGCGTGACCCTCCAGCATCTCACCGTTCTCCACACTGCATGGAAATTCAGCCAAAATACAAGAGTCACAATTCGGAGACTACTCTCCAATGCAGGAGACAGCTCTGTATTACAAAGCCTTCTCTAATTAACCCTGTCATTATTTATTGAGCAACTTCCTGCTACAGAAACTTACATAAAGCCATTAGGTAAGAGGACGATGTCTCTTCAGTTAGACTCCTCATAAGCTAGAGCATGGAAGGAATTGCCCCTATTTCCCAGGAAGCACGCCGGCTCTCGTCAGAGCCCTGTGAGCACTGGTTAGGGGCTGGCAGAGGCCATGGGCAGACTGCGCCTGCCAACGCGATGCTCGTCCTGGTGAGCGCTGTGCACGCTGGTGAGGTGCCCTGGAAAATGTTACCAGCCACTACCAGAGAAAGGCAGGGTTTGAGGCGCCGAGCTCTTGGCGCTCAGCACCGGAGCGCACCTAAAGCCACCACGTCACCGGGTGAGCACCGACAGCCCGGGAGAGACCACCACGCCCACCCAGAAACCCCCAACGCACCTCATGGCCACATTGCTGCCATCGATAACGATGGGCTTCAGGTTCTCGCTCTCGGTCTCCTCTGGGGCCGGCACAGGTGCGGGGGTCTTGTTGGCGGCCCCTCCTCGCGGGACCAGTGGGGCCTCCTTGGCTTCCGTCGGGGTCTCGGGGCTCTCCCGCTCGGCCGGGCCGTGCTTGACCAGCTCCCCCAGCACAGTGTTGGTGTCGGCGTTGAGGCCCAGTTTCTGCAGCACGACGTGGATCTCCTCGGAGGAGTAGCCCAGCTTGCGGAAGAAGTCCACCTTCAGCTGCATCTCGGCGCTGTCGCGGGGCTCCCTGCCGGGGCTC